AGCGTATTACGAGAAAAAACAGACGCATCCCTTAACATACTTGGAGCCTCTTCAAAAAAACTCCACGGGAATGACTGGAAAACTGGATTTTCAAATTCGCATGAATCTAGATATTCCACAAATGAATCGGAATTTTTGAGAGTCGTTTGGGCGTTCGAGCATTACAAGAATTACCTTTACGACTGGGAATATGAATTGGTTACGAATCATAAAGCCCTCCGTTCAGCACTTTCACATAACCACGGAAGTAAAACATATCATAGTCAATTAACGAGATGGGTCAATCATCTTTTACCTTTCAGTTTTACAATAAAACACCTGAATTTTCAATTACTAACTCTACAAATTTTTTTATCATCAATTTCTGCTTTCTTATACTTTTTTTATTCTTGATCGTAGCTTTATTAATTCTTCTCGGGATCTTAAAGTTTTATTTATTGTCCATTAATCAAAATTGTATTAATCCTTCTACTTCCGGTATTCGAATATCAGTCGAACTTGCTATTTTATCAGAACATGAAAGACTTGTTATTAAATACCGACAAAATCTAAAGTTGCCTGAACGTCCATTGGACTTAAATACCTTATTCAATGCTAAATTGGTAGCCCCAATAACAGAGGAAGACCCAATGTTAAGTCCTATCGTCAAAGCTCTTCAGGATGATGAAAACAAGATTAGAGCAACTTACTTTTATCTAAACCAGTTCATTCGAGATCTTCTAGTACACCATTTATCATTAGGAAACGGAGTTATAAAGACACTCCATAAAGCCCATCCGGTTGAATTCGGTATGAAAAACGTCGCCCAGTATAATTTTTTTCACGGTATAAACTGTTCTCAATGCATACAAATTAGTGAGAATACAAAAATTATTAATCTTTGTACTCAAATCAGCCGATTACCATCTTTATCTGAGCTTAATGAGGATTCAAATCTTGATTTAGCCGGTCTTTTGGATTCCAGTTGTGGAAAAATTATAATTTTTTATTATGCATTGACAGATTTTCAAAATTTCCCTCGGCTAAAATAACATCTTCCACTTCATCAAGTAGGTTATTGAATTCATTCAAGGTTATTTTCACTTAGAAGGCATTCCCTTTTCTATCCGTGTCGACCACGCATCTTATTTTGCTAGCCAAGATTTTAAACTATTTTGTGTTTCCAATGTTATTAAACTAAAATTTGAACAGTTGACGACCATCGCTCTAATAGCTTATTGGAAAAACTTTTACTTATGTACTGACTGTAAAATTTAAATTTATAGCAATGGCTCAGGAACATCAGAAACTTACTTCACAACACGCAGTCTCAAAAATTATCTGGAATCTTAGTTCGTCTTTCCAATCAAAAACCAAATGTTCACCTTTTCAAATACAGTTCAATAGTAAACCAAACTCGATCTGATAACAGTTAGCCTCAAATAGTCTATCCCATGGAATTTTAGACAAAAAAAAATCAATACTATGCAAAAGATTGGAATTATAGTCGAACTCTGATGATCGGGTCGAAGACGGATAAAAGGACACTACAATCCCGATGAAAAACCAGTGTCCGATGGAGAAAGGCTACGAGTCAGATTCATCTCGAATGCCATTACAAAATCCTTTCAAAGAAGATAGACTTCGGAAAATTAAGACCAGCACAAACGGAATCCCGTTTTATAGAAAACTTAACCGGAAAATTATAAATGCTTCAAAAGCACGATAGAATTATCCGACGGAAAAATTATAAGAAAACCCGATATCGTTCTTCCGAAATCTAACTCGTCTACTATTCGTTCCTTTAGAGGCATTATTTCCTTTCACTTACTTCCCGAACTAGGTTCAAAGCGGACTACGAAAACGAAACCAACAACTACGAGAAAAACAGGCCCGAAGACAAGACTCCAAACTGAGTTCGCCACCTCTGATAACGACACAAAGACCAGAGTCTCAAAACCCTAAGCCAAACCGGACAGAAACAGATCTTCACGGGACAAGAAAAAGATCCAAAAAACCGGTTACTTAGCTTGCAATGAATCAATTTTAATTTCATCGGGCACATCAGATATTAGTTATTGGGAGTGGATAGCGGGAGGTTTTCCTTGCAGAGATATGATTAGAGAACGTATCATTTCAGATAAAATTAGAGAACCAGAACCTAATATTCCCACCATAGACTCACATATAGCTTGGGACATGATAAAACTGAGATTTTAGGCGGCCAACCTTGATCATCGGACCCACTAGATTGCCCTAACTGCATCTCGAGGACAGAGCCGGACTCATTTTCCACCAATTGCACAGTTTCCGACAACTACAGAGGCCAAACAACCCGACTATCCGCCGGATAAACAGGAGACCTCACAAAACGATGCGACTGGAGACATCCCAATCTACAAGATAATCGATTCATCGGACGAGAACACGGCTGGCCAAGAATCTTCTAAAAACAACAACACCGGTAACGAGTTTAAACTTCTTCGGTCGGGCCGACATGTAGGATCTCCCCAGTTTTACGGTAAAAAGCTTTACATAGACATTATAGATATCTTACACAATCAGCTGGAAACAGTGACAAACCCGATCATCCTTGAACATCATGAACAATCAGGATCCGACAGAACGACATCTTCCCCAATTCTTTTGGTTAAGATAACTCCTAATCATCTCAGTACTTTCCCTCGATGATACGGCTAACGCCTCAGACACTTCTTCAGCGGACATACTAACCCTTTCTTCAACAGACCAATCCTTGAGAGTGGCTCTGGACAATTTTAATGAAATCGAAGAATTGGTCAGTGAATTGCTTAGCGCTCAACTGGAAAATTTTATAGAAATAGAGAAAAACTAATACAGTAAACTTTTACCACTTTTCCCTTAAACTAGCTTATTTATCCTTCGATTTTAAGTCTGGATCTCCTAGTACATACCTGCAGAGGTAAAAGTTTTTCTTCCATATTTGTATTAAAATTCTGATTCAGTTAATACTAGCGTAACTCTTTTGAACTAAATTCCATCGGATCTAGTCCATCGGATCTACTCCCTCGGATCTACTCCATCGGATCTAAATTCCATCGGATCTACTAAATATCAGTTAGTCTATTAGTTTAACTGCTTTTTTATCAAACATTATTTTTGTCGTCTTATTGATAGTACTTAACCTAGTGCTTATCGAATGAAGTTTGTTAAATTTCGTTCAGCTTCCTTCAGGGGGAGAAAAGGGTCAGTAACCTTTAATTTAGTATTTAGTTTTTTTTCCTATCAAGGAAATGTTGTGATTTGCAGTAGTTTTATCTTACCATTTTAATTAATTGCAATTTGTTATAACTGGTACTGACGTTATGACATTGATGTACTCATTCTCTCGGGCGGAGATAACGCTTTCTCACTTTTTAATGATTTAACTTTGAGATTAATTCAATTTTAACGTAGCATTTTATCTGTGCATAAGTAGAATTAGCTGTAACAAATAAACATTTTATCACCCACGATCTGAATAGAAACAAAGCTTCTCCCAGCCCTAATCCACATGCAATTAGGTTTGACATCCTTGAACTGAACATACGATCGGTTTCTTCTATAGATTAAAAATATTCTACTTGATCTACCACGGTCTGATCATGTCAGGGGTATTTTACTCCTCTCACAGGAATTGAACCCCCTGACGACCCAACCCCCCCACCCCCCTGCGGTATTTCAGCTTTACTCGAATCTTAAATTTTTTTAATAACGCCTTGGGCGCCAACATACAATGCATTTGAGAGAGGAAAATACGCTATAGTCCCAACTCAATTTATAGGTCAAATTTTTCTAAAATGGTTCTTTTTTTGGAAAGATTTGACCTATAAATTGAGTTGGCGACCTATAAATTGAGTTAAAACGGTTAAACGTCCTTTCGTGGCAATTTTGACAAACTGTTTTTTTTTAAACTCTCTTGAGAGCAGCGGCGGATCTAGGATTTTCTCAAGGGAGGTTGGGTTTCAAAAAAAAATCTTTTAAAATGTTTCGATTTTTTCTTAGGTCGATCAAATTGACTTCCGAGGTCTCCGAGCTCTAGAATTGACTCCGAAAGTTTTGACAAATGCAGTATTTATAGGGCTTGGAGAGATCCCGAGAAAAAACATGCATTCGCGCTTGGGTCATACCAACTATTAGTCCGTACCTACACGTTCGGCACGCAATCACCACGGTCTGCACATACCAAAATTTTTGGTCCGCAAAGTCAAAAAACCAAGATTTTGACAAAAAACGATATAACAACTATCGGGAATGGAATCGTATGACTATAGTTTTTTCCTCTAATTAATTGAAGCTCAAGAACAGCTTAACGTCGAGGTTTTTTAATAATTCAGGAGAACACAGTTGTTGATCACAGTTTTAAAACTTAAGAAACCCTTTTCACTCAGAACTTCAGCTGACTCGTTCAACGAGTACAAAAAAATCTTCTTTGAATAATGTTTTGACACGAACTCAGAAACTCCTACAAAAAAAGCTGTAATTGCAGAAAACTAAGATATTGCAGAAAACGGCAAATAAACTGAATACAGTTCAATTTTTTACTTTGATTTAAGAGCTTTTGAATTGGCTCTTACTCGGTTGATATTACAAAAACTGAACTCTGTGTCGCTTTCAAGTGAAATCGCTGAAAAAACAGAAGCGTATGAAGTGATGCTCAATCAAATTTGGAGTGAATTGTTCTGAAAGTTCAAACAGAGTATTCAGTCACGATGAAGTTAATTTTCATTGAGAGAAGAAAAATGAGTGATTAAATAAGAATAATTAATCTTGGAAAGAATTATTAGTTCAAAAATAATCCTTCGAGCACAGGAAAATATCTTTAATTCAACTTCACTGAATTCGATTTAACTTCTTGCAAGCTAAATATTTTTTGATGAGTTAGTTTCGTGAATCAGTTTTTGACGTTGATGATTTATAAAATTTCAATTTTATGAATAAGAAAAAAAACGAAATTGGGGTTTTCGAAAAACAAGAGCTTTACTCGCACTTTTGAACACTTTTCTTTTTCTTTTTTTTCTTCAATAAACTGATATTTGGATAATTTGTCAAGTCCAGAAGCTGAATTTGAGAATTTGTGGGAAAGAGAAACTTTTGGAGCAAAATGAACCTGGAACGGCCTTCTGAAGACCGTGCTCTGGAGATCATCTCCCTGGTCAGGGAAAAGTTTTCAATCGAGTCTCCCCAGGTGAGCATAAATAAAGAGTACAGTTTAAATATTTTGAAAATGAAAATGTATGAGTTGTCGAGAAAAAATGCCCCGAAATTTTCTATCTACTTTTGCAACTGCGTCAACAATTGTTCATAAATTGACATTGCCACCCGTACCCAGCGAATGTTCTGTGCAAGATTTGAAATTCTTTATTTCTTTCATTAGTTGATTCTCAGATCTGAAATTCTTTATTTCAGATCTTGATAAGAATTTACAAATTTCAGATCTGAAATTTGAATCTGAAATGGAAAATTTCAGATCCGAAATAATCAAGAAAAAGAAAATTTCAGACCTGAATTAGATCTGAAATCACCAATCCATAAAGTATCCAAGCGTTATTTAAACATTTCATAACCTATTTCAGATCTGAAAGTTAGATCAGAAAAAGATTATTTCATATCTGTCTTAGAAAATTTACTGGGTACGGGCATGCCTAACTCAGATGAATTTAATTTCTGTGGATTCCCGAGAAATTACCAATTGAATTTTCTAAACTGTTTGAGATGTAATCAAAACATTTACACCATTTATGCAGTGGAGTTTATGGATGGCAAAACACACTTTCGCGATTAGTTGCAAAACCGAGATTGTTGTAGTAACCCGGACTGGTACTCTTTCAACAATTATTCAGTAATGTTCCAGTTCTGTGTCAGTTCTGTGACAAAAACCGCAGTACAGTAACATTACTGATTCAGTTCTACCCCAGTACTGTCTTAGAACTCTTTTAATTCTGATCATAGCAAAATCAGTGAAAATACAGAGATAGTTATTTGTTTTGAAATTGCGTAAAACAGGCACTGCCCAGATTCGCACCCTCTATAAACGCTCTACACGCTACTTTTGGTCACTCTTGTTACCTCTAGACTATATAACCGAAAAAATTCGGCCTTAATATTGAACAAATCTCATAATCTGAAAGCACAGTGCATAATTAACAAAAAGTAAAATTTCGTAAGTGTCCTCTGTCGTTCATTACCCGCATTGGCAAAACTAAGATTGCAATAGTTTATCGCAAGTAAAATCTACTGTTCAGCAAGCTAGTTTAGTTTTATGCACTAAATAATGGATTTTTTGACTATCAATACGATTACAATCGATTGCAATTTATACTTATTTTAATCGATTCGATAGTTACCAAAATTCCTTTTTAAATGCGTTTTTGGTACAGATTATATGCAGATTTTATACAGATTTATACACATTTTATAGAGATTATCCATTATACCCTAAAAATCCATTGAAAATTCGCTTAAATTTTTTAGGAAAAACTTCGAAATTGCAAAAAAATTTTGTTACGTGTCTTGTTTTGTTGAAAATGACCAAAATCTAAAAAAAAACAACATAAAACCCTCTAAATAAGACCAAAACTGATATTTTTTTCTGATAAAAGAAAAATATGGGCAAATTTTAGTTTTTCTCGCTAGATTTTGATTGTCTGTGAGTTGGTGTTGATTGTGGTGGGGGGGGGGATAAAATCGAAAAAAACTGGAAAGAACAATTTTTTGTCCAAAAATGGAAAAACCCAGTATCTTCGTAATTTTTTTGTTTTTCAAACTTTCTCGAGTTGAAATAGTTTCCCTGAGACGCGTCCTTCGTTTTAATTGAACGATGATTTTTGAAATAGTGTCGTTTAGTTTGAATTCAACTATTGTTTTGAGTTTCCAAACAACATGCTACAAGGAGTAAAAAAATCAATTTTTTTAAACAATATAATCCTTTTAAACAATATAATCCTATTGCATTTGGCTTATGTCAGTAGACAAAGATTTCAAAATATCTTCTTTGATGCCAATCACTGCCTGGTCGAGTGCAGATTATAGCTGTTTGCGATTTCATTCTTCAGTTGATCAGTGATGGGTGACACCAGCTTTTTCGTTGACATAGAAATCATATTTTCTGTTTTTTTGGTCGAATCATCTCCATTTGCATATTCATCATCCACCGTACATGGACTGAGACATTTTTTTGATGTTTTTTGTCAGGTTTTGTGATAAGGGGTTTGATTATGAAACCGTAGCTTGGGCACATTATTGATTGGTGTTTTCATCATTTGTCGAACTCCTTAGCAGTCTCTGAAGCTATTTATTAAATTGATTGCAACAATTAGATTAAAACTTTAATCGTGAAAAAAGGCTGGTTGTTGAAATTCAAGGTGAAAACTGAATGCTGAAATCAGTGCTAAATGGAAATCGTTCAAAATTTTGGTTAACCGACAGTTGTTCTCTAATAACCCAATGATTGCCCAATTTGCTTTTCCAAAAAAAAAAAATCATTTTCCCAACAAAAAACTGATATATTGAATTGCACAAATACTACTTCTTACCATCAAAATTAGTTTTTTCAAAGTTCCTTTTTAACTCTGAAAATCTTGAACATCGCTCGGAGGAAAACAAGATTTTGATTGTTTGTGAGTTGGTGTTCATTGTGGGGGGGGGGGGGGGGGTAAAAATAAAAAAAACTGGAAAAAACCCAGTATCTTTGTAAATTATATATTTTTTTGAAATAGGTTCCCTGAGACGCATCCTTTGTTTTAATTAAACGATGATCTTTTTAAATTTGTGTCGTTTTGTTTGAATTCAACTATTGTTTTGAGTTTTCAAACAGCATGCTACTAAGAGTTAAAAAAAATCAATTTTTTAGACAATATAATTGATTTTTTGCGTCCTGAGAAAAAGCATTACAATCGATAAGAATCGATTTTATACCGCAAAAAAAATCCATTTTCTAGACTAAAAAATCGATTTTTCTGAAATGCATAAAACTCCTATTTTATCCATTTTACTGTCGAATTGGGTTAAATACAATCAATTTTTACTAGCAGAAAATCTGTATTAAAATCCATTATAATCGATTGCCATCTTATTTTTGCCAATGTGGGTACGATGAAGCATTGATGATGAAAACTGACCACTGACCCTGTATTGCAGAATGAATTCTCGTTTGAATCTTTGATGAAATATGCCCCACAGTCGTCTATGTTCGAGGACTGTAACATGTCTGCATTTCTAAAGGTTGCTGTAAAAATTCTGAGGCAGTACTGATTTGCTCTGCGGCATTAGTGCGGTAGTAAACTCCCAAAATTTTAGTAAACTCCCAAAACTCCCAAGATTAAGGAAGTTTTCATATATAACAGTATTTCAAGATTAGCTTAAGGCTGCACTATGTAAACGTCTCACCATGATTTTTATCTAACGTTCTCGCTCTTCAAAAAAATGAAAGAAATGAAACATTTTATTCATTTTTTTTTTGAAAAATTCGTACTTTCAATCAATTTGAAATTCGAGTCGAACAGAAATCGTAATTTTTCAGATCAGTATTTTCAAACCACGAGGGCAGAGCCATACTTCTTATATAGTCTCATTATAAATTAACCAAAAGAAATCGGAAAATTTTTTCTCTTTTTTCTTTTAAAAATCACTCAAATTTCACAAAAAGGCTTTTCTCAAAAACTAAGAAAAAATAGACAGCCATATTTTCAGGTTAAATTCAGAATTTCAAATCAGCTTCTAATAGCAATTAATTAAAAGTTTCAATTTGTTTTTTTTATGGGAAAACTTGTTGAAGTATTCTATAAACTAGATCTTTATTAACAAGTATAAAATTATCCTTTAACTTATGAAAAAAAACTAAATTTCTTCATTATTGGACATAATCTCAATTATTTCAGGAAAAATATTGTTGACACTCAAAAGGTTTCATAACCTGGAACTTCTATATGTCAATGAGCATGTTTTTCCAGAACGGAAGATCAATTGTACGAGAACTCGTTTTCCTTGCATGATAAAAGTAAGTCATTAATAAAAAAATCAAAGTCAAAAAAAATATCGGTTGTTGTTGATTCTGAGAATAAAAACAGTTTCTAGTTAATCCTACAGAAAGAGTTTTTGAACAGTACGATTTTTATTGTCCATAAAAGTTTGTGATGCTTTCAAATTTTCTTTTGAAGTAAATAGTTCGATGCATCTCCTATGCAATTACTGAGTTTAAAGTAGTAGAAATCTTTTTGGTCTTTTTCAAGAAAATTTCAACTTTTCTTCGTTCCTGAGTAAACCTATTTATTTTAACCATGTTATATTCATCACAATCGCAAAATTTATGAAACTATATTTCTTAACTATAGAAGTTTTTGGACTACTTTTGAACTACGGTGTAATTGGTTTCGTCTGTTTTATGGGTTTTGTTAAAGGAGGAAAGTGTTTTATTGTAGAAAGAAAACTTCTCCTAAGTTCAATAAAGCCGATATTAACGTTGTCCATATTGACAATTTGCGAATTTTCTATGTGGAACTTTAAGGCTGCTAAAAACTCGCTGCTATTTTTTTGTCTTAACAAGAAACGACAAATATTGCGATAGGAAAGGGTTGAAAAATCTCGTGAGCAAATTGTTTAAAACTTCAATAAAATTGTACAACGATCAGCACAACTTTCACTCGCAATTATCTGAATGGTATGAAACTTAGAACTCCTTACTATAAAATAGGCAAAAAACACGCTTTTGAGCTGTTGCTGATTCTAGTTCCAGACTTATTAAGATCATATAATTTAGGTGGCACTTATAAAACTTAAATACAATGTACTCAGTTTATTTTGTGTGGTACACTAACCATGTTACATTTTCCGTGGTTTATTCCACTGTTACCAGTCTGGAATTTTGTATTCTTTTGAAAGATCCAATTCCTTGTCTATTTCGTCTACAAACTTTATTTTATCATACCTAATTAGTACATATGACACTACAATGAAAAGTCATTTTCCTGAGAACTCGACAACATTTGATTTGGGTAAACTAACCTGCAATTGGTCAATTAGAGTAATTTCATCAATCAGTCATATCATTGTTCCTCCTCCTCTGGTAGGTCTATTATTGGCTAATTTTAAATTGAAATCTGTTTTTTTTTCATTTCCCTGTTATCGTTATCATTTAACCGAGTTTATGTTGACATCAAATATGTACTGGAGTTTCGAGACTATTAAGAA